TGCATGCAGCACTGGCACACAGTGTGGTAGATGGCAGTCACCGCTGCCATGTACAAGCCCCACCCTCTGTGTCCAGCTGGCCAAGCAGCACCTGTGCAGCCCATAGAGAAGAGGTGCTGCCCTTCATCACCCCCCCCTTGCTTCTGGGAGGCAGTGGCATGGGTAGTAGCACTCCATCCTTGCCTGCCCACACATACCCCCTAGCCCCCTTCCACGTACCCCCAGTTGACAACCCCTGCTCTAGTCCACGTGAATTAGTCCAAAACTACTGGCTTTAGGGGTGCCCTTAGGAATATATACAGTCAGTGTAAGATCACAAGATAAATCCTGTGTCCTATAATCAAGCTAGACCCATGCTTCACTTTCAGTTAGTCATGAATATCAGGACCCATCTACAAAAGATAAATTTTGGGTAGAAGTGGAACCATTCATCACTGGCCACGAGGGTGCAGCTTTACCAAATCTCACATCAAAGATAAAAATGTTCCGTAAGAGCCCACACAATACTTCAAAGCCTTGGATGTGAGAAGGAACCCTCCAATTTCATTATGTTGCCCACCTTCACAGTATTCCTACAAGAGAAAGGAGAGGGGGGAAAAAAGTACCTATCACCCCAACTTTAATAGCCTTCTCTTGAGTCTTGCAGTGCTTTCGAAGAAGATTCAAAAGGCATTCCTTTCCAAAGCACATATTGCTTACTGACACATCTTTATGTCCCCTTTTCTTTGTGAGCTTCTCCTGATGTAAAATTCAAAAAGGGAAAAACAAAGAACATGCCTTTTAACTGTATGCATGTGAAGAATTAAATCTTAATTCAAAAAGTTAAAAAATATTTATACATGAAAGGAGCACTGTATCACTAAGCAAAAAAACATCACCTGCAGTTATATAAGTTAGCAAAAAACCCAAACCTCTTAGACATTTGTAAAAGATAGTACCCTGACTGGGAGAAATCAGAGTTGGATCTTGCCATCTTCACTCTTGCATCAAGAATTTTGCTTTTCATCATGTTTCAACCCAGCCATGAGCAAAGGTAGAGGGAGAAATTATTATTGGGGGGGTGGGGCTGTGCACGTCCGAGCGAGTACACACACACTCACGTATGCACACACACACCCCTAGCAGGTAAATCTGTTGTGAGGAAAGGGCATGGGGGGTGCAGACTGAAGCCCCCACAGTGAGGGAGGGCATGAGACTGAGGCAGGGGCTGGGCACAGGATGTGGCGCAGTCAGTGCATGGCAGCAAATAGTGTTGCGTCACTCCCAGGGCAGTGGGGTGCAGAGCCCCAGCCCACAACAGCAACCTGCCTCCACCTTGTGCAGGGATCCAGGGGGTACCTGACCCATCGCCTCTGCCGGGGTGCACGCAGCAGCGGGAGGCTCCTCCACACCCATGAATGAGCCATTTGGGCTCTGAGCATCACATGACCCGCACAAGCACTGAGGCCCCATTCACCCCAGCCCCAGCCCCAGCCCCACTCCATCCCTCTGTGGGGGGCCTCAATCTGTCCCTGCCACTCCCTGGCCTCTTCCCCACGACAGACTTACCTGCTGTGTGGTGGGCAGTGCTTTACACATACCACCGGGCTGCTGCGGCTGCTTTTCTGTATCTGTGTGTGCCCCTCCCCTGCTGTAGCTACCCGGGCTGCCCTGTGGCCCTCTACACTGCCTTGGCATTTGGGAGGGCGAAGCCCCATTAGCCCTGGCTCTAATGCCTGTGGCCACAAACAAGAAGATTCAGTCTCACATAAGACAAGACTGAAATGCTCTTACCATACTCCGATCTTGCAGCTGCATTGAGGATTTAAAAGCAACTGCTGGCAACTCATTCTTCAGATAACATAACCATTGCTCCAAATTCTCCCTTGGCACCAGATCTGGAATAAAACAGGCTTGTCACTGTACAAGCTTCAAATATCACTCTTGTAACATTCATATAGCCTAGAATCAGACAAGTCACTAGGGGTGGCAGTAGCTGTATGCCAAGCAGCAGCAGTGCAGGATAGGGGGTGGCGGGGGAGTGGTGGCGGCTGCACCTGAAGCAGGGAGTGGTGGCAGCCGCATGTGGAGCGGCAACAGCACTGGGTAGTGGCAGTGACCACCACGTGCGAGTTCCCCCCGCCAGAAATTCCAGTTAGTTGAGTGTGCCCATTAGTAAAATCCTGGATAACAGGGATTTTACTGTAGTCTGTTTGAAACTTACTTTCCTCCTCTCCTTTGTATCAAGCCAAGCATGCAAAGTAAGAATGGCTAAAAAGTGTAATTATATCACATCAGTTGGTAGGAAGTTTTGTCAGAAAGCTGGGTAGATATGCACCTTTATAGACTAAGAGGCTAAACACGCAAATGAGCTCAGAATTGGATCTTACAGTATTCAGCGGTATTTCAGATTCCTTTATTCTCCTCATAGCTCATATATTAATGGAGAATCATATGATCAACTAAATATCTGTACAGACAGAAATGTTTCACTTACCAATTTTGTTTAAAACCAGCACTAGTTGTTTTTTTTCTCCAGACTTGGTAATAATCTGTTCTATCTGGGGACACCGACAGCCCAGGGGATCTCTGGCATCTAAGACCTCTAGTACTATATCTGAAGCCTCGATCACCTATAGTGGGATGAAGAACATAGACTGTCATTCACTGGATTAAAAACAGCTTCACAGAGTCTGTCTAAAACCAAAAATATTGTTCCTTCATTATAATAAAGTTTTCATTTTAAAAGACAATTAATACAATCAAGCTTTATAAGTGGGAATGATAAAGAAAAAGGGCTCAGGAAAAAAAAATGCATTCATTTTTTTTGAACCACACAAGTCAAACAAGGTACACATATGAGAATCAAGATTCAGGTAACTGTCATCTTTGAACAAGGTCTGTCGATTTATTGCTGTTAATATGCACGATTAACATGTTAATTGATTCTTGTGTTAATTTTTTTAATGGAGTTTTGGAGCCCACTGGGCTCCACCCAGGTTCAGCTCCACCGCTGTCACTCCTGCCTTGTGGCTGACTATCAGGGCAGCAGTGACAATGCAGAGGATCGCAAGGCAGCCCAGGTGCGGGCTCTGGGCTGCTGCAACAGGAAGGGGGTGGGCACAAAACACATGAGCTGCTGCAGCATTGGTCAGGAATGCAAGCAGCCCTGTGGCATGTAGAGCAGCACCCAGCAGGCAAGTCTGTGGAGGAGGAGTGGGAAGTTGGGGGGGGTGGGGGCGGCAGCGGGGGTAGACTGAGGCCCCCACAGTGAGAGAGGGAGTGGGGCAGGGGGTGAATGGGGCCTTGAGGCTGGAGCAAGTTGTGGAATGGAGCCAGGGGAGGCTTGTCCAGGGACATGGGGAGGCTACCTGCCACTGTGTGCACCCCCGGAGGTGGCACGGGGAGCATGTGCCCAGACTGCAGCAGGTCGCCTGCCTCCAACCTGCGCACAAATCCAGGGGGCATATGCAGCAACCAGGAGCTGTGCCCCACTTCCCCATGCCCCTGGATGAGCCTCCTGCGGCTCATGATTAATTGTGACTAATTTTTTTAATCATGCAACTGATTATAATCAAACTTTTTATAATCATTTGACGGTCCTACTTTAAACTTAACAGTTCTCTAGAGCTTGAAAGGTCAATATACACTCCTTTTTCTGACAATGGCTTAATAATCAAAAGGGGCAGCAACTTGAAAATTAAGTTAATTAGAAAGAGACTTAAGAAAAGTTGTGTAGCATGCTTTTCCCAGAATCTTCTGCCAATTTTATGGTTTTGCAGTCATATTTTCCTTTCTCTTAAAAGCAAAGGAATGTTTCCCTCCTGTTATCAATGTGCAACACAGAAGAAAAAGCCTTGTTTATTAAGATAAAACAGTGAAAACAGTTGTATACAAAGTGTTACAGAACACAGAAAGAAGTCCCCACCCACCCAGTTCCTCCCCAGTTGCTAGAGGATGGGAAATATCACAGTTACTTGTAAGAACTGTAAACAGGATGTTTTTAAGAAGAGTGCTTTTTAAGTTGTTCTCTCACTCTGGTAACTAAGACTAAGACAGCACCAACAGATCAAGAACAGATCAGTTTTTCTGATCAAATGCACTTACTATATTTAATTTTTATGAGGCACCATATTTTTTTTTACCAAGCAATTCTAGTGCGTGTGTGCACGCACATATGTTGGGGAAGTAGGGGGGACAAATTTGTTGCTGTTTTCTTGTAATTTCAAGTAATAAGAGATTTACAGCAAACCCAATTAATTTAATATTTTTCATAATTTTGCTGACAAGTCATTGTGTTTCTAAGTCAGTTCTCACAAGCAATTGAGCCTCTATCAACCTGTTATTGCTAGATCAATAATTATAAATGTACAAAAAACACTAAATTTCAAGTCAGAACACTGAAACCACTTTCATCTTTTCACCTTTAATTGGGAATTAGGGTTTAATATTAAAGATCTCTAATCAGAAAGATAATTTGAATACCTACCTTTTTAAGTTCCCTGCAAAATGATTTTGCTGAATTTTTATCTAGCTGTTTGTTAGATTTTTTCAGTTTCACAGTGGATTCCTGAATGCAAAAGCAGATAGAAGGAAGGGTGAAGGACATTTGAAACAAATAATTGGAACATTCCCCTTACATAATGGGAAATAACAGCAAACAAGAGCTCCAGTATTTGCAATAGCATGAAAAAGCAAAAATCATGTTATTTAGAAAAGACTATACATTTGAGAATCACGTTTATCATTCCTATAAACTTGAATGGAATCTTAGAAGGTGACATTTCTAATACCCACGATGCATCTACCCAAGTACTACATGAAAAACTGTAAAATTAGACGTTAGATCATGAACATAAAACCTTCTCACCACTTAAACTGTGGGGGCCAACTTCTGGCAGGCAGGCACCCTGCCCTTCCCCAGTGCCAGTCCCCTCCCCCTACCCAATCTGCTGCTCTGCTTTCTGATTCCTGCCCTGTGCTCCCTGCCTGATCCGCTGCTGATTTGTGCCCTATCTGCTGTTGTGCTTCCTGATCTGCCAGCATGCCACACCCGAAGGCTGCCCATGGCACTTGTGTCTGACATGCTGCAGATTGGCCATTTCTGCTTTAAAACACAAAAATCAAAAGAAATGCAGGGTAACTTCTACAGTATTACCAGACTTAGCATCGCTGCAGTACAGCAAATATTTTCTATTGTTCCAATCTAAAACCAACTGGAGTTCAAGGATAGATGTCAAAAGGAACAGGATTAAACTTTGTGCAAGGACAAACATCTGTCTTCTTGGCTGCAAATGAACCAGACTGTTCACAAAGGAAAAATTATTCCAGATCCACCTACCTTTCCTTCTGGCTCTTTTTTTGGTTTGGTAGCATCTTTTTTAGCTTCTAGCTTTCTCTTCTTTTCAAATTCTTTCTGCCTGGCCAGCTTCTGCTTCTGTTTGAGTTCTTCAAGCTGAAGTAAATAAAACAAAAACAAATTTAAAAAATAATTACAAGCAAAAAGCAGTCTCTTTCCTGAATTTACAATCAGAAATAGTTGTTTGTAAAGTCCTCTGAGGAAAAGAAATGCTCTAGAAGAGAGTCAGCAACCTTTGGACAATGGCAGGCTGAATTAACATAGCCCATTCCAAAGGCAGGCTGTCACCTTCAACTTGGCTGCCTCTTTGCCACCCCAGCTTGGTGGGCTGAATAAAATCTCTTTACAGGCTAGATCCAGCCTGTAGACTGTAGATTTCTGACCCCTCTAAAAGGATACACGTAGCCACTTAGAACAGTGACTGTCAACTGGGGATATGTGTATCCCTAGAGGTACCTGAAAAGGTCGTAGGGGGCACGCAGAGCTGACATGCCCAAAAATGTGCTCGATAAATGCTGTGTGGGCGAAGTCACAGTGCAGCACGCAAGCAACCAGGAACACAGCCGGGCAGCGTGGATAGCAGCTGGGTCCAACTGGTAAGTCTGCTGTGGGGGAAGGGGCATGGGGGCAGCAGATCAAGGCCCCATTGGTGGGGGAGGGAGTGGGGCCGGGGTAGGTGTACGTGCTGCACAGCTGGGGCGGGAGCAGCTCTTGCTGCTACATGCACCACCAGGAGAGCATGGGGGCGTATGCTCCCAGATCTGCACACAGGACGTGGCTTGCTGCCACTGTGGGCTGGGGTGGCGCTGGGCTCTTCCTGGCAGGGGACTGGGCTGGACTACATTCAGGGCAGGTGGTGGCAGTGCTGGAAGGGACGGGCTGGGGGCTATGGAGAATTCTTGAGTGGCTGTAGCCCCCCCATGGTGAGAGAGGGAGTGGGGCCAGGGCAGGTGAGGCACAGCCAGGGCAGAATGCAGGACAGAGGCGTGCAGCTCCCACCATGTGCACCCCAAGAGGACATAGGGGCTATGTGCCCCCCAATCTGCACGTGGCGTGAGGATGAGCTGTGGGCTGGAGCCAGGGCAGCACAGGGAAGAAGGGGGGGGGTCTACAGAGAATTATGGAGTGGCTGCAGCCCCTCCCGTAGCCCGCTCCCAGTACCACCACTGCCCACCATGAGCGCAGCCCAGCGCAGGCCCCCACCAGGAAGAACCTGGCGCCGTCCTGGCCCCAGCCTGCAGTGGCCCACCCGCACCACGCGTGATCTGGAGGCACATCCCCCCCTCCAGGGGGTGCATGTAGTGGCTGGAGCTGCCCCCCGCCACGTGAGGCTCAGTCCTGTGCCCTGCCCCACTCCCTCCCCCACCACTGAGGCCTCCATCTGCCCCACCCCCTTAAAAACAAGAAAAAAAAAAGGGGTATGAGGTGAAACTTTGAAACAGAAGGGGTACACTTGTTAAAAAGAGGTTGAAAACCGTTAACTTAGAACGTTATTAATTTAATTTGCATGAATTTTAGCACTTGTACTAAATGAGTTCTTTGCAACAGAACTTTATTACGAAGACGTTAGAGTGATCCCTCACCAGGGCCATTTCTCCCAGCAGACAAGTCAGCAGAATTGATCCAAACAGAGATACAAGGCAAGCTTTTACAGGAGACTGATAAAGCAAACAGTAACAAATCACCACGACTTGACAGCATTCACCCTAGCGTCCTGAAGGAGCTCAAATCTGAAATTGTGAAATTAATTACCGTAATATGCAACCTGTAACTAGGGATCTACATTAACTGTTACTATACAGGAAAGGGATCTTGGGGCCCTGGCATACACTACATTTAGGACACGATTAAGATGTTAATTATGCCATAAACAGTAATCCTTCCATATGTTAAAGCCAATTTATGGGATATTAATATAGCAAATAAGATACAAAGATATTCCAGATATAATGTATAACATCTTTGTGGCTTGTTTGTATCACACCTTAAATTGAAAGTGTGGCATGTTGGGGTTGATACATGAAAGATCCCAACACTCAGCTGAGCACAGAGATCCAGCATGGGGCAACCCCAAGGTTCAGGACACAGGTCCCTACCCAATCACCGGGATCAGGCTGTGGACAGCACCAAGTACTAGATTAAACACCCCCACCCAAGTAAATGGCTATTAAGGCTATGTAAAGTGAAGGATGACACGCACTGAGTTCCCCTGAAAGTCTTCATACCTCCTTTCAGTTCACTATAAAATTAAAATATGTTACCCTTTGTTTCCTTTGCTCAGCTTCACGAAGAACTTCCTCCTTGAATGGTGCAGCACTGGGAACTCCTGGATCTTTTCGGGGCTTTTTGTTTCCACGCTTCTTGGCTTCTTTCCTGAGTTTTCTCTTGTGTTCCCGTACCTGTAATCAAGAAAGAATATATACTGGAATTCAATTTAATAGGAAAAGCTAAATGTCTACATATAAGTATGTGGCCAGAAAAAGATTGTCAATTGCAGAATCAACACGCATGTAGCTATAGCTAAATTAATGAATCCTAAGTATTACAGAATTTAAAAATTCAAAAGATCTACAGTACTACATCATCTGTGCCACTGCCCCTCCCAACAAAGATTTGTTCTTTACAAAATACTTGAAGGCAATTTTAAAGTGCCATTCAGACTCCCATATCCACTTAAAATAACCTCTACTGTAATGATTCTCAACCAGGGTGATGAGACACCCTGGAGTACTGCCAGATCCTCTGAGCGTTCCCTCACGATAACATAAACTAGGTAGATTAACTCAGGCTCAAGCTAATGCCGATCTAAATAATTATCTCACCCCATGGCACAGCCCCTCTGCAAGGAGGTAAAGACTAGAGGTGAACTGATACATCAGTTTCATATTGGATCAGCACTGATAACAGAAAAAATAACATTATCAGCCTTCAGCTTTTTTTGGCCTATAAGATCACCGATAAATGCTGCAGGCAAGTCAAGTACTGGACCAGGAATGCAGCCCTGAAGCTTGGAAAGCAGCCTCCTGCTGGTAGGTCGGGGGGGGGGGG